TTTTAGTTGTGGAGAGCAGCAGCAGGGTACCCAGGACACCTGGGGGCTTGGGACAGTGGATACTCACCCAAAGCAGGCAGAATTGTCACAGCCCTGGGCTTGGAGATGGGCAGAGTAACTAGGTAGATCGGAAGGCATCATATAGCAAGCCTGGGGGAAGGCTCCACCCCACCCCCAGCCCCTGCTGAGAGATAGGTGGGAGGGAGGGGACAGGCCAAGGATGGCGGACACTGATGGTTTGTCTCAGAATGCTGGTCTCTGTGCTTCCAATAAATTGCCTCAAGAGAGAGTAATTTCCATTATTACCCCAATTTTAAAGATATAGAAACCATGCTGCAGGGAAGGAGCGAATGTAGATGATTCAGTAGCTTGGAGATTTTCAGTAACTTCCCTCTGATTACATGGCTGGTAGATGGCAGAGTCAAAATTCAAACCCTGAAAAAGTTCTCTCTACGCTCAACTGCCCTATAAATTGGAGCACAGTGTGGAAGGCAAAAGGAGGAAATTGGCCTGTGTCTCTCAAAGGGCTTTGAGGAGGCTCAGTGGTGTCCTGGTGGCTCAGGAGCTCAAGTGATAACCAGAAAATTACTTCTGTACACATGTGCTTGTCCCAGTTTGTAGGATTTCTCAGGAGTGGGGTGTAGAGGAGATATACAAGAGATCTGAAACAGTCTGTGGCATTAGAATGGGCTTGGTAGATTTGAAAAACGAGGACGTCATCTATCTTTGTACCTCCATAGCCAAAGACAATCCCAGGTGTAAAATTATTGTTCAAGAAGTATTTCTGAATGTTTGAATGAGAAAACAAAAGGCCTGCTTGATCTTTCTCAAAAATGGATCTGATCCCACCTCTTACCCTCTTAAAATCTTTCCAAGGTGCCCCACTAGTTGCACAATAAAGTCTATGAATTCAAAGTCACAATCTCACCTCCACCTGTCATTCTACCACAATGTCCCCACACTCAACCTTCCCTGCTGGTGTGTATGGTAGAATCTATTTTGAGGAGGCATAGCAACCCTCTGGGCTCTGCTTATCTGGTCATTGCAACCCTTAATTCACTTTGTTTTGTTTTGTTCTAGAGACAAGAGTCTTGGTTTGCCGCCCTCAGTAGAGTGCTGTGGTGTCGCAGCTCACAGCAACCTTGAGCTTTTGGGCTTGGGCAATTCTCTTGCCTCAGCTTCCTGAGTAGCTGGAACTATAGGCACCCACCACACACCCGGTTATTTTTTTGTTGCAATTTGGCTGGGCTGAGCTCAAATCCTCCACCCTAAGTATATGGGGCCAGCACCCTACTCACTGACCCACAGGTGCCACCCCCCTTCATTCACTTTGAGCAGAGGAATGGTTTCTTCCGCACAACTCATAACTCATCTCTTGGGTGGATGGGGTTGCCAATCACAATTATGCGCACACAATACAAGTGGGATCAGTCAGGGTCCATTCCAGGAATATAATCCAGAGGGAAAAGGAAGTGTTCTCTTTCTCCTCTGTGGCCACTCTCTGGGGTGATGGAATAATATAAAACCTGGAACTTTCTGCAGATACCCCTGCCACGTGAAGGAATCTTATCCTCAGTTGAAGAAGAAAAGCCATACACAGGAGAAGAAGACAGTCAGCCACACATGGGCGTGTGCACACACACACACACACACACACACACACGCAGTGCACAGAAGAGACAGACTAAGCCACCACGTTGCCATGTCCACATGGCTTGAGTTTCTATGTACCCTGTGCTTCCCAGTTTTATGAGTTTCATGACACAGTACATTCCTTTTTCCCCCTGTCTTGTTAGTTTGAGTTGTATTTCCTTCATTGACTGACCCTTAACTGTGATGGACTGCTCACATCCCTTACAGGTTCAAGTGACACAATGCATGCCACAAAAAGGCCAAAGACTCAGGAGACTTGAGGGCAGATCCTGCAGCCCACTCTCCTGGCTCCCGTGGCTTGTCTTCCAGCCACACTCTGTAACCATGTCCAGGTTGGGTGGGGACTCTCCTGGACCTTCTCCTTCATACTCCCGTCCCTTCCGCAATACCTTCTCAATCTTTTGCTCCTTTGCACCCTCCAAGTCTGCCTCCTCGTGGGGTCAGGGTTTCTATGCCTCTGGTTCTGCTGTGGACAGGGGACTTTGGATGCTGCAGGTTTTGGAGCTAGAGATCCTGCAGTGTGGACTCAGACCATGTCTCCCAAAGACCTCTAGCACTAGAAAGATAACCCACTCGTGGCCAATCTTCCCTCTCTTATCATGTCTCCCTGAGATGGTCAGTTGGCTTCTCAGCCTTCAGGTATGTAAAGAATATTCAAGACTTCCAGGTGTGGGGTAGAATGAAGGCTTGCAGGCTCTTCGGCCTTCGTGTCTCAATTGTGTGAAAAGATTTAGATGTTGAACACATCAGGTGCTTAGAAGAGGAAGCAGGAGCAAAGGCAGACAGGCCCAGATACACCGGCCATTGCAGAAGTTGCCAGCCTTTTCTGTAGACTCATCCACCTGCCAAGGGTCTATGACATGGACCTACAAGGTGGGGCAGCACACGGACAGCACAGCTGGAGAGGGAGCCTGTGAGCTTGCCTAAGTGATATGAGGACACCAGGATGATAGCCTTTGGCCTATGACAGAAAAGCTCGGTGAAGGTTCTTGAATGCCAGGCTCAGGATCCCGATGGTCATTCTCAGAGTCTGGAGGGGGCTGGAGGTGATTCATGGCCCCCTTCTGGGAGGTCAGTGATACCTCCTCCTGCACCTAAAGAGGCCTGGGTGGCCAGGACAGAGATCTCAAAGCCCTCTCCCAGGGCCAGCAAAGGGGTCTCTCCTCTGATTGTCTCCTCCCAGGTCCCCATCCTAGCCTGCTCCTGCTGTGGCCTCTGTCCGTGTGGACTTAACTGAAATAGGCAGCTGCAGTGAGTGGCCTCAGGGTCCTCTGACCCCTCCCCCCAGCCCCTGTCCACAACAAGCACCCTTAGCCCTATCGCTCAGTGGGGGCACCAGTCCTCAATAATCCACCTCTGGGGCTTTCCACCCTGTAGCTATCTTCCTGCCATGACTCATGAAAGCCAGTCTCACTGCTCTTCCATTTAGGAAGCCCCTAAGTGGAGATTCTGGGGTACTTTTTTTTTTCTCTTCTATTTCCTTCCTCATTCAAGGACTATGAGAGTGAATTCACTTATGCTGAGTTTCTGGGCCAGCCCAGCTGAATGGGAGGAAATATCCCAGCCTGCTTCTTGCCTGGCGATTATGTTTCTCCTACAGAGTTAGAGCAGGAGCCAGAGAGTCACATGCTTGGAGCTGGGAGGGAGCAGAGAGCCACTTGGCTCTTTGGGAAGATCTTTGGTGCTGGAGCGGAACAGACTCCAAGTGTGACACCAGCCCTGCCACTCACCTGTGTAAATAATTTCCCAAGCCTCAACCAACTATTTTGTATTCTTTTGTTTTCAGTTTTTTTTTTTTTTTTGAGACAGAGTCTCACTCTGTCACCCTTGAGGGCTGTGGTGTCATAGTTCATAGCTACCTCAAACTTTTGTGCTCAAGCAATCCCCTTGCCTCAGCCTCCCGAGTAGCTGGGACTACAGAAGCTTACCACAACGCCCGGCTATTTTTCGGTCTTTAGTAGAGATGGGGTCTTCCTCTTGTTCCTGCTGGTCTTGAACTCCTGAGCTCAAGCACTCCACCCACCTTGGCCTCTCAGAGTGCTAGAATTATAGAACTGAACCACTGCACCTGGCCTTGTTTTCAGTTTGTAAAGTAGAGGTAAAAAGACCCACCTTGCAGAGCTATTATGAAAATTAGATGGGATATATAATAAGTTTGACGTTTAGTCATAGGGAGCTGATCTCATGCTTGTCTTATTCCAACCTCCCAGACAGAAAGAGGCAGACTTGCCCAAGGCCATGCACTGACCCGGTGGCAGAATCAAGTTCATCCTGTTTCCCACTCTGGGGCTCTTTGGCCTGCCCTGCACTGCCCCCACCACACAGAGACCACAGGCAGGAGCGGATGGGCATGATGGGAAAATCTTCCTGTTCTCTGCTCATCCCCTGAGCAGAAGTAAAGTGACAGGGACAGGATTGGCAAGTCCCTACCCACCAGGTCAGCTTCCACATCAGTGCAGGAGAATAAAGGAGGGAGACAAAGTCAAACCGAAGAAAGAGCCTGGAAAAGATGTTTTTATGTTCACTTACATGGAAAAATAATCAAAGTATACAGCATGAAGATACGTTTCTCAGAAAACTCATCTCTATGAACCTGTTGGTTTTAGTTGCATTTCTAGTTCAAGATTTGCCCAATGGAAGTCATAAAATCGTGGGGTGGGGGTGGGGAGGAGAGCCGCCAAGGGAAAGTAGCAATTATGTGCTATTTCTTTTCGAGTTTCAGATAATTTGGAGTTTCAACTTTTCCAGCAAGTCAGAGTTATATAAACAGATGCCATACTAAAATACGATTGTGTAAACATATAAAAACTCCTAAAGCATCATGGCAATAATATTTTAAGGAAAAACAATGTTAAACAGGATCATTTGAGCAGTTCTGTTTCTCTGTAAGAAAATCAGTTGCAAATGATGGATGTATGGGAAAGAATAAAGCACTGCCTGCACATAACTTAGAGAGGGGAAACATTCCTAAACACTGACTTTGTAAGAAAACATGAAGGACATCGGAACACTCAACAACAATGGCTAAAAGGAGGAAGTGACTTTCTGGAGGATGCAGTGGGCAGAAGGCCACGGCCTGCTGTTTTCAACTTGCTCTTAACCTGTGCTGGGATGTGTCCGCACTGCATGGCGTTTCCTGCAGAATCTAGCACCAAGAGATGGATCAGACTTTGTCTTTGATCTGAGTCCTTTATGTCTTCAGTTTTGAGTGTATTGAGGTATGTTTTCTTTGGTTGCTCTTATAATGAATACGTAATAAAACACTGTAATATTTACAACATTTAAACATTTTAGATTTCAGTGTCAACTCTTCACATAAGAAAAATTTGAAAACTCATTAAGAATCATTACTTCCTAGCGTCTGTCATGAAGCTGTTCTCGATACACAGGACAATTAGCCTATCAGAACAGCTATATGCTTTCTGGTCCAGAATCTTCCCCGAGCTCAGCGGGGAGGCGAATCCCGTGACTGCCATGTCTGCTGTTCGCCAGGCTTCACAGTACTGGTCCACAAGGCGGACACCATGGGTGCTGGAGCCGTGCCAGATGACCTTCTGGGGCCTAGAAAGTAATTTTGTCATGTTACCTTTTTTTTGAAGACAGTCTCACTCTATTGCCCAGGCTAGAGTGCCATGGTGTCATAGCTCACAGGAACCTCTGATTCCTGGGCTCAAGTGATCCTCCTGCCTCAGCCTCCTGAGTAGCTGGGACTATAGGTGCCCACCATGATGCCCAGCTCATTTTTCTATTTTTAGTAGAGATGTGGGTCTCACTCTTACTCAGGCTGGTTTTGAACTCCTGAACTCAAGCAATCCACCCGCTTCGGTCTCCCAGTGTGCTAGGATTATAGGCATGAGGCACCATGCCTGGCTGTCATGTTACTTTTTGAAATGACATTTCATTGTGGTATATCTTGATAAGAAAAAAAATTGGCACATGTCTAGTGAATCAAGCCAAACTCCTTAACCTTCCATGGTCTGATGCCAAACCACCTCTCTATCCTCATTGCTTTTGCCAGTTTTCTGAACCACGATATTCTAGCCATGTGCAGCTAGCAGTTATTTGCAAATCATTCCCTCTGCTTTTGTGAATCTAAGCCTCTGCTTATGAAGTCCCTTGGTTTGCAGTAGCTTCTCTTTCACTTTTACAACAGTGACTCCTTCTCATCTTTCAAAGGTCAATAAATGCCTCCTCTTGCAGAAAGCCTTCTCTGATTCTTGCTTTGGGTCTCCATGTTACGATTATAGCATTCTGTCTAGAATCATAGTTAACCTGTGTCTCTGTAGACTGTGAATCCTGTAAATGGGGGGGTCCTCTAGGTTTATTTCAGTGCCATATAGGCCTGGTATGAAGGAGACACTGAGGAAAGGTTTACTGAGTTCTATTCTGAAGAGCACATATAATTGTCAAAGATTTGGAATGCAACTCACAGTATAGAGTTATGGAGGACCAGGAGTTGCATCACTTGCCACTTATTAAGTGCCCACTTGATGCTATATGTTTTCATACTTAATCTTTTTGTTCACAGAACAATCCTTTGGTATAGATGTGATTATCTTGCCCCTTTGACAGGTAAGGCAGCTGAGGTTCAAAGAGTGGAAATGCCTTATCCAAGGTTCCATATTGAGCTACTGGATTTGGGTCTTCTGGCTCCAAGGACAGGGCTTTCTCCTGACCCTTAGTTGCCTCACTGTGACTTTATGTTGATACTATCCCAGAGGGGCAGCTGATAAAGGCATCCGATTGTTAGGATGCCTCCTAAAACCGTCCCTCATATGATATCTGAGGACTTCTACCCTCACTTACCAAGAAGGATCTGTCATTACGTCTCGGCCATCAAAGGAGTATATTGGAATGTGAGTATTGAACTGACCTCCATGGCCAGAAAAAATCGAGTCCCAATTATTAAAAAGTACTTGGCCCTATAGAGACAAAAATGCCACATTAGAATCATGGTACCATCAGCCTACAAATAGACCAGATGTGTTCAAAGCCCAGATGGCACCTCACATGGAAGTCCCAGCCCCAATCCCAGAGTCTGGACAGAGTAGAAACTCAAAAGATATTTACGGTTTGATTTTATAATCCAGCCTTGAACCCTTTTGCTTTTACTATCTTATTTCCTGAGGCACTGTCTCTTGTCATATATGTGTTCAATGCTCCTCCCCATCAGAAGTATATTTTAATTCTTTATTTAATTATTGATATTTAAACATTTTTATGTATGTGTACTGAGCTTCTAATCTGTGCCTGGCCTTGTGTCAATCTACACTGTGGATTACACGGAGATGAATCTCTTAGTCCTTTTCCTAAAAGAGTCTGGTCTCTTATGGAGAGATGTAAGAATAAAAATAATTCCAGTGGTGGTAGAACAGAACTCTGGAGAACAGATGGAGGGTGCTGGGTATAGGATCAGGATGGAACTTGCCAGCCTCTAAGTTCCAAATGGAGTACTGGGGCTGCTGGGTCTGCAAAGACTTGAAGTACCTTTGAGAGCAAGTTAGTCATTAGGAGCCAGCATGTGTGTGAGCAGCAACAGAGCTCTCCCTCTATAGCTTTAAAGGAGTCTGTTATTTATTTCTATGGTGCATTTGAGGGACCTTACAAGGCCCTGCCTTACCAGCCAGACTTTGGCAGTTTAGATGCTCAGAAAACACCCAACTAGGGTTCAGAACAAAGGGCCTCTTTCCTAGGACCAGTGTGTCCCAGCTGTTCTCTGGTGCCACTCAGCTGAGGCCCACAGGAAGGCATCCTCAGGTGGGACCCAGAGCTCCAGGCATAGGAGTCAAAGAAACCAGTGCTAGTTTGCAGTGACTTTGAGCAAATTGCTTTCTTCTGCTGAGCCTCAGTTTTCTTATCTGACAAACTAAGAAAAGAACAACTTCCATTTTTTTATCAGAAGTACCTATGAAAAGAATAGACCTAAAGTGCTTCATAAATAAGCGAAAATCCTATATATACAAAAGATGATATTATTTCTCCTGTGGCTCCAAGAGTCACAGACCATCCCAGCAGGAAGGAAACAGGTCCAGAGAGGGAAAGCAATCTGCACAAAGCGGCACAGCTGGTCAGGGGGAGAGCTGGGCCTGCAGCCAGCAAGCCTGTGGTGGTGTCAGGGAACAGCAATGCGCCCAGGCCTATAGAGGCCCGCGCCTCCAGAAGGCGGTGGGAACTATGTGGATTTGTACCTTGAGGTTCACTATGGGAAGGCTGTGTCTCTCTGCCTTCCTCACAACTGTGGAGAGATCTTGCAAGTGGGAGGATAAGAATGCTCGGTAGGTGGACAAGAGGCCTGCAGCTCTGGCCTGCTGGAAGCACTGAAAATCCGCTCGAATGTCCCCAGAGAATGGCATGTTCAGCGCGACCAAGTGCAGCTGAAAGAAGTGAGAGAAATCAGAGTACAGTTAGAATCAAAGACAAACTCCAACCCCTATGACTATCTCAGGTCCCTGAGCAGATCCTCAACATTGCAGACTGGGAGGCACATCACGGTGGTCATCTTAGTTGAGCTCTCCGTAATGCCAGGATTTCAGCCTCTGCTTGACCGTGTCCAGGGAGGGAGTGCTATGGTCTCCAAAGCAGCCTTCCTCAGCCCTCTGAACAGCTATTAGTGGGAAAAATTTCTCCCTTAGAAGAGAAAAATAAAGCCCAACACTGCTTGGACCAAATAAAGCACTTCAGAGATCAGAACAGATCTGAAACCAGCCTGCAGCTGCATGTCTGAAGCTTCTGGGTCCTCCCAGCCCAGTCTCCAGCAGGGTGCTGGGTCCCAGAGCTTTACCCAGCCATCTGCCTGTTGCCCTTTCTCCTGTTTCCTAAGTGGGCCTGGGGCTGATCATGTGAGGGCCCCAGGAAGAAGGTGGCCTAAAGAGAAGGATGTCACACTATGACAAAGACTGCTAGGATACACTCTTCTGGAAACTAGGGGTGGAATAGTGCATCCCTGCCATCTTGGCCAGCAGCCAGAACAAGCCATTCTGAAGTCTGTCTGTCTACACGTTCTCTTCCCAGCCTCTCTCTCCCTCTGCAGCCCTGTCTCCCAGCCCTGTCTGCCACACCCTTGGGAATGCATCCTGTAATGAAGGGACACACATTCCCTCCTCTTCAATCTCATCTCAGCGGTAACCTTTATCTCATAAACGTAGAGCTGGGGAGGGCTAGTGCAGGACCTGGGCCCCAGTTGACAAAAACGGAAGACATTTTAAAATATTTTAAGCCCAAGGACATGAAAAGAGCCCCATGTGGTGGGGCAAGAAGTGGCCAGGCCTGAGTGAAGCCTGTGGGTACATGTTCCAGCACACAGGACTGTCACGGTGGCTTTCTTCTCCTTTTCAAGATTCCAGCCAGTTGGCCACAGCTGGCCATGAGCTACGGTGTTCAGGCTGCCGCATGCAGCCCTTGTGTGTCTCTGGCTTTGTTCTCAATTCCCCACCCCCCTTCCCTGTCTCCTGCACAGGACAGGTGCTCAACTGCTGCCTCCTCCACTCTCTCTCTCTTTATTCATCCGGGTTAGCCTTGCTCACCACTCAGAGGTCCAGAGGTCCACGCCCAGGCCCTAGCCCTGTCCACCCCAGACTAAGGCCTCTCCAACAGGCCTCCCTGTGGCAGGCACTTCAAGCTTGACCTTACCAGCTTTAGTACACTGCCAGCAAGCAGATTCCTACCTCCACACACACACGCCCTGGTCCTCTGACGCCCCGACATTAGCCACACTGCCTCCACCCCATCTTCCTCCTTCTCTTGCATCTGGGGACACCTGGGGGACCAGGCCCTGTGGTCTCATCACCCTCCAACCAGTGTGCTTCTGGGGCTATATCAATGGGGATTCACCAGAAGCCTTGAGGGAATGAGACTTCCCCCAGGGTCAGCGGTGGCCACCAAACAAAGGCAGGGAGCAAGTGTAGGGCTTCCAGGCCACACTAGTAATCCCACCCCGCTCCATCTCTCCTTTACGGGGACATGGAGAAATGTCTGGAATTATGGTTGTTTCTGAATGGCGAGATTGAGGGCTTTTGTGCTCCCATGTTTATATTTCTCTAATTGCTAGAACATTTTTATAATGAGTATGTATCACTTTTAGGAAGACATTAACACTTTAACAATCAAAATGTTAAAATAGCTATTCTATGAATGGTTGTCACTTTGATAAAATTATAGGTAAGTTACTATTTTCTTCTCTATTCTTTTTATGCATTATTAAAATTTTCTACAATGAATATGTGTGACTCTTGCATTTACAAAACACTATAAAAAAAATCCTTTAGCTACTGCCCCCTCCTTGGGGGAATTTTGAAGCGTTGCCTACACTCACTTCTCCCTTCCCTCACCTCCCATTTACCCCTCAACTAACTAGAATCTTGTTGGCCACTGAAATCCTGTGCTCTAGCTTCTAAATTTGAAGGATACCTTTCAGTTCTTTTTATGGATTTCCTGGCAGCCTTGGACGCGGTGGCTACTGCCTTGCTTGGCATCCTTTCTTCCTCTCTGGCTACGGCTTCCCAGTTTCCTGCTCATATTTCTTCTATCGGTTCCTTTTTGGTTTTGCTCCTCATAGTCCAGTCCCTGATCACTGCACAGGACTCCTACTGCCCTGTAACCTCCTGGCACCTCGACTCACCATGCTCCCGGTGAGCTCCTCCTGGATGGATGACAGCACTATAGGTGACATGTGTCTGGTGTCTGGCACACCCATGTCTGGTTCTTTGAAAGTGCCCCCACAATCCTTGCTACAAGGAGTGGCCCTAGGCTTTCAACTCATTCTCCTGGATACTCTCAACTGGGCAGGGAGTGGACAACTTAAGAGACCACATAGACTCTCTCTCCCAGGACTCCTAACCGAGTCAGATAACATGGGGCTTGGCAGCTGTAGGATCACAGAGCAGAGGGCAGAATCAGTGCCAAAGCTGGGTGCAAGCTCGTGTAACCTGTATATGCCTGTTGGGTAGGAAGAAAGACCCTTGTGGAAGGTGGTCTACAGAAACAGTAACACAGACTGATGGCAGAGACAAGAGTCCCCAGGCCTGGCTGTGCTTTCTGCAACTGAGTCCCATGAGGTGCCTGGAATGATTTGAACAAGATCTTCCCTTCAACTATCAAAGCAACAGAGTGAGAGTTTCTAATCCCAACAAAATCCCAAAATGAAGGGATCCCTGGAAAGGAAACCATCCCTGCTGAATTACCCCTGCAAAAACGTGGGTGTCATCTCTCTCATCCTCCCTGCCCCATATCCAGCCAGTGACGAAAGTGGGCACTCCTGGCACCTTCCTGTCCCTTCAATCTGCCTATTTTTCTACATGCTGGCTGCTGTGACAGCACAGGAGCCACCTCGTGGCCTTTGGACTGCTCAGTCTACCCAACACTGTAACAGAGCTAATTTCTGAAATGCCCATCTTATCACAGCTGTCTCCTGCGTAAACCCTCCAGAAGCTCTCCACTGCCCACAGCACAGAGTTCTCAGCTTGGCTTTCAAGCCCTTGTTGACCAGCCCCTGCCCTTGCTGACTTCTGCAAACTAAACTTCTTCCTTTTCTGCCTTGAGCTTTGTTCCTGTAGTTAGACTGAAATACTCACAGTTAAAGGACTTCCCCTTGCTTCCTTTTGTTCCTTCCTCCCTGGCTTAGAATTCCCACGCCGTTTCTCCAAACTGGCTCACTCATGAACCCAACTATCCTCAGGTCTTATTTAGATGTCACCTACCCCAGGCAGACTTCTTTGGCCTTCTTCATACCCCCAGCACCTGTGCCTGCCTCACCCAAACAACCTAGCACACAACTGCACTGTAATTCTCCGTTTTTTGTTTGCTTCTCTTGCTACCCCATGAAAAGCAGGGACTATGATGGCAGGGACTATGCACTAAGCCCGGGGCCTAGTATATAATAGACGCACACTCAGTACTTGCAGAGTGAATGCACAAATCGTACTTACGGCAGGCTTCTCATAATTGGCACTTGAAATAGGGTTCAGTGGAGGCGGAGGGCGATGTGGCTGTTATGTAAAAGAGGAAAAGAAAGAGTTCTGAATATGCATTCAGTCTGTCCTTCAGAGGACACGGAGGGCAAGTGCAATGTTCTTAGAAAAGAAACTTTAAAATATAGTCTGTCATTGTTTCAACTGTGACTCTTAACTCTGAAGAGATGCAGGCTCCCTTGAAAAAGTCGTCCTCAGAAACAGAGGGGATGTTCTCAAGATTTTTAAAAAGAGCACTGAACCAAGAAAGCAGAAGACATATGTTTAAAAACCAACTCTCACTTAACAGAGAAAGCCGCCTCCTCAAAGCCTCAGTTTCATTATCTGTAAAATGGGATACCTGCCTCAAACGGCTAGTTGTAGGGCTAGAAGATGGTCAACAGCAGGTAGTAATGTACTTATCAGGCAGAGAGTGTTAAAAATTAAAAGAAACTTCTCCACCAAGATTGGAGAATTGCTTTTGCCAGCCAACAATTTCACAGATAAATAAACTGAGGCCAAGAGAGGGGAAGCTGCCTGCCCAGAAGGACTCAGCTTCTACATGAGAACAGTAGGTTTCCAGCCACGGGTCCAGTTCTCCCTCCAGTCTACCATGAGAACCCTCTGTTAACACCTGGTAACTTCTGGGTTTCCCTTTCAATACTGAACATGCAGAGCTGGTTGTCTAGCTGGAGAGCACATGCTGGACACCCAGGGGGACTCCAGACACACTGGCCAAGGAAGGTATGAGCCACAACACAGGGCAACTACTCACGTTGCTGGACAGGGCCGGGGGTGGAGGGCTGTCATCAGGAATGGGGATCAGCTCTCCCAGCTTTAAGGAAAATGGTACATTGAAATGAGACATCAACTAGAAACTATTTCTAAAGCAGCAAAATGACATTTACAAGAGCAGATTATTTTTTTTTAGAGGGTGTCCGGAGGCAGTTTGTGAAAGGAAGTTTAGGCATCACCTGTAATTTTTTCCAGCCATCTCTAACGCGGATGAAAAACTCGGTGCTGTCCCGCAGGTAGATGAATGTCCCTTCGATCACCAGGTGTGCTTTCTGCAGCATGTCATCCATGTTGCTGAAGGTCGTGACCTGGCAGATCATTCAGGGTCCAGTCACTGCCATTATCATCAGGGCAGGGGCACAATGTGACACAACCAGTGTCACTTTGTACAGTCAACTATGAACTGTCCCCTTGTGTACAATAAAAAGTCTTACTGTGTGCCATGCAGAGGTTTAGATATTCACTGATAGCTGAGGGGCATTCTTTTTGATAAAACACAAACTTGTATCACTTTGAAACACATATCTAAGTTACAAAAATGGATTAAAACAAAAAGGTGATATTTGGGGAGTATAAAGACATGTAAAAATTGTCAACAGAGTTGTCTTTGTGGGGTTTTGGTCTGAGCAAAAACTTTGGTGAGCCCTGTCTCATTTTCAAAGCTGCGTGGTGGTCCTGACGTTAAGTGGTGTCACTTTGTGCTACTCTTTCAGGAGTTTCCAAATTCTTTTCATTTGGCGTAAGAAATGCAAGCAAGTGACAACTACACTTGGGTCTTAAAACTTTTTCATCTAGCTGGGTGGTTACAATATTAAATACATTATAGAAAACGAGGGTCTGTAATTTCTCTGTCTAGAAAACTGCCAGAGATTAGACAGTCATGTGGCATACCTAGGAGTAGATAGAGAAACTGCAAAAATCTATTAAGTAGCATCATATCTCAGAGAAACACCAGCCAAGAGAGTTTTTATTTTTCATTTTCACTGAGAGAGATTATAAAAAATTAATTTTCGCTTAGCCTTGAAGATAATGACTTTGCACATCAAAATGGCTTAGAATCTTTCCCCAAAGGAGTCAAATATCAAAATTCTATCATCAGTTGGACATTTTTTTTTTTTTTTTTGGCAGCTAAAATCCAGCAAAGATCAAAGAGCATTCTTAGGACTCCTGACATCCTTGTAAGATATCTGTCCATCTTTTGTGCATTCTAATGATCTCAGAGCACCATACTTTGTTCCCACAACTGCAGAATAACAAATGTATGAGAGATACCCTTTGGCAGGAGAGAGGAGGCTGAACTATCCAGGGTAAATATGACCAGCATGAGGACTTGTTGTGATGCTGTTTACACTCTTAGGCTAATCTTTTTTTTTTCCTTTTTCCATTCTTATGATACTTTACTAAGAAGAATGTTATTAGGCAATTTTTTAAACATACAGTACAGTTGAAAGAATTATATAGCGATCACCTGTACATTTACTGCACACAGTTTATAATTTTTTTCTTCTTTTTTGATGTAAAATGATTGGTTTTTGTTATAGCTTAGTCAATTCAGGATTCAAAGGTCAGAAATTAAATAATAAGTGATTTGTTTCTCATATAATAACAAATGACACATAATAAGTCATCTGAATTGATAATAAATTCCCTCTATTCTTTATAGAATTGCATCAGTTCTACTGTCACAGAGATTTGCTAATCCCAAAAGGGTATCAGGCCCTAAACTCTATAGCCAGAGTTTTAAGTAAATCCATCCAAAATGGAACGAGGAAGGCACATTGATAATGATACTGACCAAGTTTCTGGAGCCGGGGAGCCCTGGCTGCCCTGGAGGGCCAGGTGGGCCTGGAAGGGCCACAGCTAAGACAAAGCAGAAAAGAGAAGTTACAGACTCCCCCCCAAAGTTTCCAAAAAATGCCTCAGGTGTCAGCTGATCACTAGAGGGAAGTGCTTACAACCCCACTCCCAGTGCTACGAAGCCGCCCAACTTGCAGCTGTATCTTGGGTAATCTGGACCCAGCATATGACTTAGGCCACATTGACTAGTTTGAGTAAGAGCTGAGATTCTTACATTATTGCCCTGATTCAAGCCATGCCTAGGACTTCTCAGGGGTTGTTTGGTTTTTGAGACAGAATCTTACCCTGTCACCCTGGATAGAGTGTGGTGGCATCACCATAGCTCACTGCAACCTCAAACTCCTGGATTCAAGTGATCCTCCTGCCTCAGTATCCTGAGCAGCTGGGGCTACAGGTGTGCACCACAATGCTCAACTAGTTTTTATATTTGTAGTAGAGATGGGGTCTCACTCTTGGTCAGGCTCAAGCAATCCTCCCACCTCAGCCTCCCATAATGCTAGGATTATAGGTGTGAGCCACTGTACCTGGCCAACTTTTCAATTTTATAAGTGAAAAAACTCCTTTTGTTGTGGTAGTTTGTGAAAGACAGTTTAACTTCAATTTTTTGTCACTTGCATCCAAAAATATCCTTACTTGTACAGCTTATTTCACCCAAGAGACAAACATGTGACCACTAGACAGCGGAAGCAGGCCCAGAAAGAGGAAGAGGAGGTGCCAGGCAATGGAAAGAGGCCAGAGTGGCGCAGGGATGGGAGCCTTGGCCCTGGGGCTGGAGCCATGGACTCAAGTCCTTGTTTGTTAGTTCCCTGCTGAGTGGTCTTGAGGAAAAAGCAAGCTCTCTATTTCCTAATCTGCAAAATGCAAACAGGCGTTTCTTCTTCACTGGGCTGTGGTGAGAATGCACTGCTTTGCAAGTTGCACAGCATTCGACTAGGAGCTCTTTGCTTTTGAAGCAGCAGAGTGCCCTTAAATATCAGAAGAAGGTGTTGCCCTCTTTCCTTGACAAATGTACACACTCAGTTCTATGACAGATCCTTGAGGCACTCCATTGCACTGTTTAGCAGTCCATGATTCCCCAATCAAAAAGCCCTTACTTTAGGCAGGGCTAGATTTATTATAGCTATTCCTTTATTCTTCTTCTACCTCTCTAATCCCCTGCCCTCCTGCCCTCAAATCTGCAAAGCTCTTGGCAGGGTTAAGGATGTTCTTATAAGTTCCCATAAAATTCTTCAGGTCATTGCAAGCAAGTCTTCAGTTCCAACATGGGACTTGAACAGCCACACCTAGGGGTAAGCATCTAATGGGTGGAGGGTCAGGGGACCTGCATTTAGATCCCACCCATGCCTCCTACAAGAATTAGTGACCTTGGGAAAGTCTCCTCTTTGAGCTTCAATGTCTTAATCCATGAGATAAATTTTATAACACCTATTTCCTATTCCTCCCAGGGTTGTTGTGACGATTACATGTGATAACAGCTATGAAAGTATTTTGTAAATGGTGACTTGCCACACATTACATCAGGGGCAATCCCTGTGCAATGCTGCAAGGCATCCTGGGTCCCCCTCGTGCAGAGCTGCTACAGACAACAGCCTCTCTGCATCCTGCACTCACCCTGTAATGTGGCTCCACCTCCTGCAATCCTAGTCCTCCCTCTGGGCTGTGCAGGCACCTCTGGTCTTACCCACCCAGCCCCTCTTGCTTTGCAGGACCAGTATCCTTATCTTCTTCTCTCTTAGGACATTCCTCTTCACGTCTATAACCACTGGCTCCCAGAGATAACTACCATGTTCTCACATGATCCTACCTCCTGGCCACAGGTGATTGACCCAAGGTTGGAAGCCTGGCCCAACATAGGTCACCAGAGTCCTTCCTAGGGAGTTTCCCCACCCCAGGACTTTTCAAACTAAAACTGAGAAAGAACTTTAAGATTTTGAGAAACAAAAAAAAAGATTTTGAGCTGACAGCAGAAGCTGTCAGTTGTCAGTAACCATTATTTCCCACTATGCAGCGGATGTGGTCTGTGGTGAGAAAGCATGAAACTGGCATAGAGAGAAGCTGAGAAAGAGATGGACAGAGGATCCTGGCAGGGGTGAGTCCGTGGTTCTGGCTATTACTAAGGTCCCACCACATGTCTACTCTTCTCGTGAGCTGATTGTTCAGTCCTTCCTTCATATACAATAAACTTCCCTTTGAGCAACTTTGAGTTACATTTCTGTCACTTACAGCCAAAAGACTGAAGACTAGACCAGGCACGGTGGCTCACACCTGTGATCCCAGCACTTTGGGAAACTGAGGAGGGAAGATCTCCTGAGGCCAAGAGTTTAAGACCAGCTCTTCTCCACAATAAATTCAAAAACGTAGCCAGGCATGGCTAACAGCTTTGGCTGTAGTTCCTGCTACTCAGGAGGCTGAAGTACAAGAATCACTTGAGCCCAGGAGATCAAGGCTGCAGTGAGCTATGATTGCACCACTGCGCTCCAGCCTGGGTGACAAAGTAAGACTGCATTTCTTTAAAAAAAAGAAAAAGAAAGAAAGAAAATTTTAAAAAAATGCAAAAGATCCAAGGTTAAATCAAAACCCCAGCTCTAAAGTCACATCCCATGTAAAGCTGTCCCTGAGTCCCAGTGTCTGTGGGTCTCTTCTAGGTGTGCTTCTCCCAGGCCTGGCTCGTGCCAGTCCAACAACAGAACAGTACACAGTTATGTGTCACTGCTGCTATTACTGTCTTCCACCAGGGGCATGGTGGAAATGACACAGGCTTTGAAGCCATGGTGATCTGGGTCCTAAATCCTGTTGGTATCTCTTATTAGCTACGTGAGCCTGGAAGGGCTCCTAAATGTCTCTGGGTCTCACTTTCCTCACCTGTAAAACAGAGATTCTTATCTTAAGGGGTTGTTGTGAGAATTCAATAAAATACTGTAGTAAAGTGATTAGCAAAATACCTGGCACTTGATAAATACTCAATAAATGAGCTTGTTTTTTTTTTAAATTTCACCCATTTTGCATTTGAGGAAGTAAGATTCCAAAGGGTGGATAGATTTTTACATAGAGAGTTACAATCGCTGCTCCTTTATAGTTTTATCCTATGAGAAAGAGAAAGTTTTCCCCTAAGGCATTGACAAAGCAGCAAGGAAGTTTCTACCCACGCATGACAAGACGCACAACACCATTAGTTATTAGGGAAATACAAACCCAAGCCACAGTGAGATGCCACTTCACACCCATTAGGTTGGCTAAATGTTAACCTTGGGAAGATGAGGAGGAATTAGAACCCTCAAATAACATTGGTAGGAATGAAAAGATTCTGTGGCTCCTTTGGAAATCAGTTAGGCAGTTCCTCAAAAAGCTAAACAGAGAGATACCATATGACCCAGCAATTTCATTCCTAAGTATCTGAGAGAATGGAAAACGTAAGTTCACATAAAAACTTGTACACCAATATTCAGAGCAGCATTATTCACACAGTCAAAAGGTAGAAACAATCCAAATGTCCATGAACAGATAAATGAGTAAACAAAACGGACACCTCCACAATGAAACATTATTCATCCATAAAGAGAAGTACCGATCCATGCTATGACATTATTCCAAGTGAAAGAAGCCAGACACCAAGGGCCACCAACTGTGTGATTTCATTTACATGAAATGTCCAGATAGGCTAGGCGTTTGGGAGTGTTCAAATTTTTGTCTTCAATGTCAGAGATGCTTTCTTCTGCCTGCTCCATTCTGTTCCTGAGGGATTCTACTGTATTTCTCAGATCTTTGAGGCCTGGAATTTCTTGTGTCAGTGAGTAAATTTTTGGAGATTTTGTCTTTGAATTCATTGAAGTCATTTTGCACACATACAAAATGTCTTTCTCATGAGATAAACACGTTCTAAAATTACACAGTGGTGATGGCTGCCTGACCTTGTGAACATATTTAAAACTACTGAATTGTACACTTTAAATGGGTGAATTTTATGATGTGTAAATTCTATCTCAATTAGAAAAATAAAACAAGAAAATCATGGCTCCATCAGGAAGCAGCCCTCTGTTAGATGGTGTGGCTGTGATGTGATACCCAGATGTGGTAACCCAGAGTACACAAGTAGGGGCAGCATGAATGAGGGTACTGCTCACAGAACTAACCTGCTCCCAGGATAGCTGGAGGTCCTGGTGGCCCGGGGGGTCCTGGTGGCCCAGGGGCTCCAGGTCTTCCAAAGCCAGGTGGCCCAGGCAGGCCAGGTGCACCTGGGGGTCCTTGGGGCCCAATGCCTGCCTCCCCTTTCTGGCCCTGTCAAGGCAAGCACACAGTAAGAGCAGAGAAAGCACCACTCATTACTACAAGTCCCATCTATTCCTTTCATGAGGACATTTGTACGAAATCCATAAATGTCAGCTATTGTTACTATTATCCTCAATCTTGGCACAATTCAAGGTAGGGAGGGATAAGACCTCAAGGGCAGTATCTTGGTCATTATGTTGAATGATGCTATAGAGAAGCCCAGAGAGCCCTGGAGTCAGAAGGAACCCTGAACATCAGTCTAGGCTAGACTTTGCCTAGAGAAGGAAAGATCACAAAGCAAATGAGAGGCCCAGCCAGAAGTAGAACCTGACCTCTGGCTTTCCTAGTTCTACCCTCATGGTAAGCTCTGGAACCAAAGGTCAAAGATCTGGCCATATTCTCATTAGGGACATATATAGCTTGATTTTGTCTCTTGTAGCTTGGAAAAATCTCATCCTAGGAAGAATAAGCCTATTTAGGAGTGTCTTTTTTGATAAAATTTCAGAAGAATCAAATAGCTTCTCTGAAAATATCTCCCTTACTTTCCATTCTGCCTCCATTAACTGAAGTGTTCACCATTAAAAACTCTTTGCATTGAGTGAATTTTCCATCATGCCTATGAATAAGGCAGCGAGCCTGCTGGCCTAGATGTTATCTCGCTGCATACAGCCTTGGACACCTCACTTCCACCCATGGGCTTCAGCTAATCTCCCCATCAATCAGCAATATAGGGAAGAGCTGGCCAACCCCCAACTCCTGCCTCCAGCTTAGAGTGCTACAACTAACCAGGCTCTTCTATGGCCTGGTCCTGCTGGGGGCTTTGGGACAGCTGTGAGTCTGCAGGGAAGATGACTTGGCAGGTCACTACTCACTTCTAGGCCTGGATTTCCAGGCAGTCCTGGCGGCCCAGACACAAAGAAGTTATCATTAGAGTCTCCTTTTTCTCCTTTGAAGCCCCTGTCTCCATTCTCCCCCTGGATACAGAGAACATGAGAATATTTCAGTAGTAATGGGATGACTTGGTCTCTGATGTAAAGCCAAGGAATTGAAAGTACAGGTCACACATTTAGAGAAATATTCACCTTCAAGCTGTTCAGATAATGTCTCAGGTAAGCTGGATCAACTGGAGGACCTGAAAAAGAAATATTTCATAAAATTCACAATCACAGTTTCAGAAGTTTAAAAATAAAATTCTCCTAATGGGCAAACATGGTTATTTCCCAGTGGACGTGACGGTGCATTGGGTTGGCTACCAGAGTTGGGACCGGGTCCTGGTCTGTGCCCAGAAACCCTTGGCACTATGGGGCCTGGGTGAGTCCCTGGTCCTCTTTGGGCCTTGTTTTGAATATGCAACATGAACAACTGGAAGTTCTGGTCAACTCTTGACAGTGTTCCATCTTGGACATGCCAGGCCCATAGGTGGGTATCCCCAGACCTCAGTGGAGCCGTGGTCAGATAGTAACATGACTAGTCTTACGCTCTGGCTCAGGGGCACTTCTCAGGAGCAAAAGTCAAAGGCAAGATCTAGAATAAGAGCTGGAGTACCTGGTGGTCCCTGGGCTCCCTGATCGCCTTTTTCTCCTTTTGTGCCGGGAAGACCCCAGGATCCTTTTTCTCCTTTAACACCTGCCACCAAACATGAACATTTTTTTTTAATAGTGAAAAATCACCTTCATTTTACAATTTTACATAAAACTTTTCTGAGACAAGTTTTCAAACAGCTCCTTAAGTGAAATCTACTCAAATCAACAGAGGCTAACTGAGAAACCAGGGGGTTTTACAACCCTTGGCTGAATGATGAAGAGGGCAGAGGTAGATGCATTAGATACAGTCCTAACCTTGAAAAGCTCAGTCTTGCTGGGGAGACAGACACAGCTGTGTCATGTGCTGTCACTGAGGTGCCAGCACCAGCACCAGCACCACTGGGGCCCAGCAGGGGCTACGACTAACTCAACTCACTTTCACTCAGTGTTTTCACAAGTGTGGACTGAGGCTCCACACCGGGTCAATGTTCCACCTCAACTCACCTAGGCCCATGCAGCATGCTGGCATATGGGAAAGAGAGTGACAGGACAACTAAGGGTGCTAAGTACCCACTAACGATGTCAAGAGAATGCCCACTGCGTGGAAATGCATCTCCCTGCAGGACTAGTAGGGACACCATGTCTGCAGGACTGGCCTTCCATCCCCACCTCCTTCCCCAGTCTTCACACAAGATGTGGGTCTGAAAGGGAGCCTTTTAGGAGATCAGTGTTGGAAAGGGAGGTGGTGTCCCTTTCCCACCTTGATGGCTGAGTAGTCACTAGGCCTCTGATTTCCAGGAGGTGTGGCAGCTCAACCCACCCACGCTCTCAAGCCTAGAGATGGGGTTACAAAGCACAGATGAGGTTTGGGGACTCAGACTGCCCCAGTGTGAGGGAAGGACTGTGAGCATCAGAGGCGAGGCGTTGCCAACCAGTCAGGAGGGAGACGCAGCCACTCACACTTCACCGTGTGCCCACCGCACCTGGGAGACACGGAGCAGGGTGGGGCTGAGTTCTGCGTTTCCAACGGTTCTTGGGACACTTTGAGGCAAGGGGCTTCGAAGCTCCCACAGTCTTTCCCTGGATCAGCTCTTGGCATATTGCACTATTATTATTTTTTAAATAATTAGTTTCACTTAACAGATTCCAAGGGTTATCTGTAGGATTCAACTGTAGGTGAACTGTAGGATTCAACTGTCTAAGCCCAGTGCACGGGATCATACCAAGCAAGGAGTAGGCATTAATGAGTGTTTTGTGAACAAATTCACACATGGATGAAGGAGGGGCATGCTTCCTGCTAGCCAGCGGCTCAGCCGAGATGGGCAGGACAGACAGGGTGTGCCCAAACCAAAGAGATACCTTGCTCCCCAGCCACCGTCCCACTACACAGTCAGATTTTCCTGAGCACCTAGTCTGTGCCCAGCACCAGGCAAATGGAAACCACCTCACTCAGAGCTACTAGGGTGGGGCGATGTCCCAGAGAAACACATAGTGAAGAAGGGAGTGTGTACCGTGGAAAGTGATGAGTTCTGGATTCCCGGGATGAGTGGTACCAACCTGGAAAGAGAGGAAGGTGTGGTCAGACGCTGCCAACCCCAGCTGGTGTTTGCATCCATGGCAGCCTCTATCCCAAGCCCATGTGGAGGAAGAGGCAATGCCATAGGGTCAGGCCTTCCTTTGGTTTTATAGCCCCTCAAAGCCCTGAAGCCCCCTGCTCCCAGTAACTCTGAAGACACACACATCCCTGGCTTTCACCAGGGAGGCTCATCACATAACCAAAGAGAGGAAGAGAGAAGGGAGACCTACTTGCTAACAAACTCAGCAGAGAGGAAGCCCAGAGAGTCTTTAAGACAACAAATCGTGGCAGTGTGGGTTTGGCCAACTAGGAGCATTCTTGGCATTCTTTCTTATCACTGAAGATTGATTCATGTGAGAGGTCAGGCATACTGGCAAGCAATGTGCCCAGCCATGAAGCTGGGCCAGCTGTCAGCTTTGCTGAGCATAGTGAACAGTAGCTAACCGTAAAGGGGGCTATCGTTAGGTTGGGCAGGGCTACTCTGGACTCCCCATTAAGTGCCAGGGTCTGGGGCCAAACTGTTCTATATAACATTCCTTCCCAGTCCTCTACCAGACAGCTGCACTTCCTTATCTATCAAGACAAAGCCTCCTGCAACCTGGAACCTTGCTGCTCCCCAGTTGATAGGCAGAATCAAACTGGTCCATCTGGCACCATGATCCCTCCATGCTTACGGGTGGAGGGTCACAGGCTGCTCAGGGGTCAAAGACGGGAAGAGGGGAGGGAATTGTCCAGGAGAAACACTTTCAAGATAAGGATGAAGGCTGCAGCACCAAGCTGCTATCCTGCAGCTATGTGGATAAAGTTCCTCCATGGCAGACACAAGCTGTAAATTTTTAGTGAAGGGAAAGCCTGAGACGAGAAGGGGCCTGTGGAACGCCAGATGTGAGAGGAAGCATTTCTGGTTCAAAATGCCCATTTTGGAAGCAAGTCAGGAAATGCCCATGCCCAGCTCCCATGGTGTCCAGCCAGGCAGCACGGAGTCATTTTGGTAACTCACCAAAAATGCTCCAAGCCCACCTTTGGCTTCGTTTATATGACTCTGTGACCCCCACAGGCACTGGTCACCGCAAGAGTCCTGGCCCTGGTAACTGTACTGGCATTTTTATAGCACCTGGAGCTGGCCCTTTTCCTTTTTGGGCGGTAGTCTCTCCACCTGTACCAAGAGGAGGGGATGCACGATCACTCAGGAGGGCCCCTCCAGCTCTGACCATTCATGTTTCTCTTCAGGCCCTGCCAGCAGGCACCTTCGTCACCTTACATAGGTGTGCCCTGCTCTCTGCCTTCCGGGCCAGAGCTCCCAGGCTCTGGCTGCCTCAGAGTTTAGCATTGGCAGAGGTCTGGGAAAACACTCAGTGAGTGCATCAGACCCACTTCAGGGAATATGCGTAAATTGTAATGCAGAAGCTCCTGAGAGCAGAGACCACGCCTGTCCAAGTCACCCCGTGTCTTCAGAGCCCAGCAGAGTACTTGGCACTCGGTAAGTGCTCAGTAAATATTTGTTGAATGAATGAGACAGTGATTCTGCACGGTTCTGTGACTAACGCCTGTCCACAGGGCCCACCCTCCTCCGGTTTCCTCACAGAAACAAGATTCTCTTAATATGGCCGAAACCCCAGGGACAGTGCTGCGGACGGGCGGGGAACCAGGCAATGGCCCCTCAGAATCACCAAGTCTGCACTGCTGCCTAGTGGCCAGGAGACCCGAGTTAGGGCTCCAGCTCCGGCATGTCTGGTGACTGAAACAAACAAGCGAGCTCTGAGTCACAGTTGCTTTCCTTATTGTAAAGTGGAAGAGATAATCTCTGTCCCTTGGGGTTGTGTGCTGTGCAGTGATATGATCACTGGGAAAGGAAGGAACATAGTCACAGATTTTAGCCCCAAGTTCCCAGTACAAAGACCATGGGTTGGCCTTGCTTTTGTCCCATCTATATTTTTTAAGGGCTCTACTTTTGCCAATTTTATTCTGCTCCAACCATGAAGTTCATGCAGTCACAGTAACAAAACACACTGCTTTTTAAATTATCTTTAAAGACGCACCTTGCCAGTGTGTGCATCCTTACAAGATCCAGAATATTTCATCGCCACTAT